AAGTAAAGTAAGATATTTAAAGTTGATAATTAATAAATGCTTTAGTAGAAATTTTAATATTTAAACTTTTTTTTTTTTGATTAATAAAGGATGCTTTGAAATGTTCACATGTTAGTGAGAATCCGGAGGTAACAAAGATTTCAATATATAATTATAAGCATAATTAATTATTAACAAATCACTGAAACCGCAGCAAAGAGAAAATTTCAATAATAACTTAGAAAATAACGAGGAAACCAATAAACAATTGTCTGATTCTTATTCACAAATCAATGTTACTGCCAATACTTCACAAGCTGTTAATGCCGATGATCAACTTTCATCTGATAATATGAATCAGCCTAATAATAGCAATAGGGTAAGAAAGAAAATCATAAGGAATTTGTTAGTTTTAAGTTCTGAAGTTAACCTAAAATCTAATTTATCATTGACAAATCACAAATCTTAGCAAGCTGAAAATAACAGAGAAACGGATGAGCCTATGACCAATTACCACCAATCAATCAATGTTATTTCTAGAGAACTTGAACAAATGACCCTAGCAAATAATAATACACAAGCCGGTGACATTAAATCTATTCAAGATAACGATCATGTAAGAATTTTAACAAATCAATTAATAAATTCAAAAATAAATTATTAATATATGCTATTGTCAATAAAATTTGACAGGAAGAAGGCTCTGAAGTAAGCGATGACGATTCACCAGGATGGTCAGAATGTGAGGAGTGCTATGGAAATAAAAAGGAATTATGTGAATATTGTGGATATTCTGTATGCAAATGGAAAGGTGATCAAGACTAAATTCTCATATGCGATGAATATGATAAAGGTTTCCATACTAGATGTTTAAAACCCTCACTCTCAGGAATTCCTGCTGGAAATTGGTACTGTAAGGAATGTGATAGTGGGAATTCAAAGAAATCGAAACTTAAAATGTGACTTGAATATTCAAGTTCAGAAGAAATTGATAATCAAAGTACAAGAAAAATCAAGAAATTGAAAACAAAAGTGACAAAAAATATAAGGCATGACAAGATACTTTGGACTCTGATGGTGAAGACAGTCAAAATATAAGAAAATCATCAAAGAAAAAAAAGACAAGTCAAGATAAAAAACGTGAGACTTTATCAGATCCTTCGGGTATTATTTCAAGCTTTGGCTATAATTTTTGCATATTATATATTATATAAAAATATTT